GGGGTGGAGGAATGGAGCGGTTGGCATTTTGGAGCTAAAATCTGCTTCAGCAGGGAAGCAGTAAAGGCATACCACAGAGGGAACTTTCGCAGAATTAGCTTGTACTGGTTGAGAGCATGAGTCAATCCCAATGCCAAGTCATTCAATATTTTTATTTCTTCTTTTAATTAGAATTCAGAAGGAAGAATTCAATTGAAGAAAGGGAAAGAATTTAGAAAATAAAACAAAAATAACAAGGGAAAGAAAATGATAGAGCATGAAAAGTAAGAGGAAATTTCATTTGCCCCCCACCCACACACACACAAGGAAACTTTAATATTTCCAAATAGGGAAGATTGTAGGTACTGTTAACCGTTAGAAAAGTAAGTTAAATTGTTGATTCAGGCAAAAGAATAAGCTCAGAGGGCTGTGAAGCGGGAAAAAAAGGAATTGAAGGGGGAGAATGTTGCAGATTGAAATGCATTGGTTCCTGGTTATAGTCAAAAGTAGCTATTATGTTGGAGTCATCACCTGAATCATCTAAGGTGATTCTGTTGGACTGATCAAATTAGTCTTACTAGTGCAATTTATTTTAACCAAGTTAACCTTACGAAGGTAAGGAATAGAACAGCCAACTTACCGCTTGATGTTGGCTCAATCAAAACACTAAATCAACAGAATGAACATGAGGAATTTGGTAATCAGTAAGAAAGTAGGGGCAAAATAGTTAGATGATTATGGACTTCAAAATGCTGAGTAGTTACGGATCAAATATTTAACTCAATATCAACAATAGAAGAACATAAGCACTTCAAAATTAATTTGAACTTTTTGTTATTGATTCAACAAGATCATTTATTAAAAGAGCACAATCTCTCTGGGGATGTCAACAAGAAATGGAAAAATGTATATAAGACTACCAAGGAACTAGCGTTATCATCAAAGGAATCAAAAGGTGCGCTTTAGCAAGTGAAATAAGTGTAATTCTTAATGTTCCAAAACTGCTATAACAGAATAAAGATGAAAAAAAAACTAAGTAACAAACTGAAGGACAAAGATATTGCATAAAATTTAAAGAGGAAATTTCCGGATGAATTACTAATGTAAAGGTTCAATTGCCCATTAGCATGTCAAAAAGTACTAAAGCTTAGCAGATATCAAATTCAAGCAAAGATTTGAAATTCACAAATTCAATGGCAGATCGGTGAGCTTCAATCCAATTTCTCCGGGGAGTCTTGAAGCACAATGAGAGCATATAAAAGGGGATCAAAGATGATGATCAATTGAGAAAATACCAGCATAGAGAAGGGTTGTTGATATGATCACCAAAAAGGTGTCTTAGCTAGCTAGAGAAAGAACAGGACTTGTGTTCCATATTCCATAACCTCACATTACCAATAGAGAACAAAAGTAGGCAGGATGGAAGGATGGAAGTAAAGACAAAATACTTAGAGCAAGCCTGCTGAAAATAACAGTGATTTTTCAAATAATGGGCGTGGGATGCTTACAAGTATATCAATCTGAGTGATGATATTTGCATAATGCAATGCAAGACCAGCAGATCCCAACCTCTCGTGGTTGTTTTTCACAGGCCTATCTCCATCTGCAAGGGTCAGCAAGACTACAGTAATAATGATACCACAAACTTGCCAATCTTGTCACTAAACCATGTGCAGCCTAGTCAAGACAGGCTGATACAATTTTAACTAGATATGTTGTGCAAAATCAGCACAGTAATGCAAAATTATTATGATTAAACAAAAGTTCACAAGTGAGTTCCATGAGTTTCTATCCTCCAAATGAAATAATACGCCATTTCAGAAGGGACCATTGGATCAACTCATTAGTTGTACAATTAGTGTAACTGTAACATCACACACAAGTAATGAGCAATAAGCAAAATCTTTAGAAACTATAGTTCTGTTATCTGCAATGCTAGTAGCAGATTACTCAAAAATTCATCCAAGACCAATGATTCCCCTAGACCACTAGACATGCTTCAACAGCAGAAACCATCTGTTTTCAACGGACAATTTGATAGGTATCACTGGTAGTACATACCTTCACGCCAAGCATAAAGAAAGGGCAGCCCAGTGCACTAAGCTCACACTAGTTTGATAAAATCAAATCAAGGTATAGTTTTGTCATGCTTATCAACAACTTAACATAGAAAGTTTCATCGAAAAATGAATCTCTCCAGATATACAACAAGACTTGACTACAAGCATTAGTGAAAAAGAAAAAAAAATCATAATAACAGCAATCACTCGTCCAACTATCGCAGACATGACAGCAACAAAGAACCACAAGAGAAGTTACATTGAAGTTTCTAAAGCATTACCGGCATAGCCAAATGCAGCATGGATCTCCAAATGAAGGAAATGCACAACGTCCACTAGCTTCTCCGTCACCTTCAATTACGAGTGTAAGATTGATCAATTCAAAGAAAACTGATTAATTTATCTAAAACAGTTTAACCATCTCATGATATATAAAATATGTATCATGTAACAAGCCCACCAAGTAGAAATCAAATTACCATTGTTAATTTCAAAAACAAAAGAGATCATAAATCACCACTGACTTGCTACCTCTTCCAATATCTTGAACCAGAGGGATTTCTTTTTCAAGCTTTTGACAAGCTTCCTTTGACTTTTCAACTCTGTCCTCAAAATTGGAAGGCTATCTCCTACACAAAATTAAACATAGAATATTACACCAGACATGCAGCAAATGAGAAAAAGAAAAGGAAAAGTAAAAGAAGAAGGCAAGAAAGCACAAGAAACAAAGAGGATTAAGAAACACTCAGGTGCTAGTCTATACCAAGCCTAACATCTTTTTTGGACTGAGAGTTTGAATTAACCTGCCTTAATCAGGATCTGATTTAAATCATTTACCTTGGTAGTTACATTGAAAAATTTAATCTTGAGAACCAAAAAAAATTAAATAAGGATCTGCAAAGTGATTATCATTCAAGCGATCATCTAGTAACCCCACATGCTCAACCAGAAATTCTTTAGATCACCAGACAAAATAGTCCATAGTTATTACGGACTGGTCTGAAAGGAAAAGATTCTGAAAGGAGGTGAGCTGTAATAACTAGTCACATCTCATGAAGACTAAGTAATCAATGCCAGAACCCACAACCTGTCAGTTTATTTTAGAAAGAACTAAAAACTAAAGGATCCACAATTATGGTTCACCACACCTGAAAGTATAGAGAAGTATGTCGTGCGTCTACAACCAAAGACTAAAAGAAGAATCAATAGATCCGTAAACATTTCCTCCACCTGGTTGAGATTTCCCTGGTTGTACCACCTAATCTTTCGTTCAACCATCAAACAAGAACCAAAAGAATTTCCAGCTATGCAACTACTCAAACTGTCACTGCCTGACTGCCTCCTACAGTCCATTCTACACCATTCCCTCAATTCCATGGGGAAAACTTGAATTGTGCTATAAAGCCTTTATTGACTTCTACACAAAATGAACTTGAAGTCATTTTTTGAGTAGGGGCGCTCCAATGTGCCCTGCATAGCCCCAAGGCAAGACGAGGACACAGATATGAGAAAGTAAGATTTCCATTTGCGTTTTTTCTAAAGAAAATTTGACTTGTTCCCAGACATGCAATATCGAGTGCAAACAATCTCTGCTAATAACTACATTGGCTATTAAAATATGTTAGTATCCAATGCTTGGACACTTAGATATCAGACTTTTTTACAAGAGTCCTTGGTCATTGGACCTGAACTAAACCATAGTTAGAAGTCTCCCAACAATATTAAGGCTTCAAATTAGCGTATTGTACATTTACTTAACTTTTATCTTTGCTGGCAACTTGTCTTGTTTTGAAGTCACGTTTTTTCTCTAGAATAGATTAACTGAAGTCTTTACAACTTACAGTACAAGAGTTGACATACGGATGAAAGTGTGAGATTTGCTTTTGCAGAGAGATAACTATTCCCTAAACGAAGTCTTCAAAAGAGATTATGCAGAAGGATTATAAAATGCAAATCCGGAGTTGCTTCCCATTCTCCGCCTAAAGTCCCCCCTTTTTACTCATGACCTTTGAAATTTCCCCATGCGAACACTCACTAAACATTGTTACACTAGTAACCTGTTCAATGAACCCCATATATACTGACATATGGAGTGCTCTGTCAAGACACCACAACATGAAAAAATTGCTATGCTGGTAAACCATAAGAATACGGTAAACACTAAACACATTGAGGCAGCTTAATTTGAATTTCACACATGGAAAATAGAGCTTCAAGTTGCTTTAAGGAAAAACAAATATAACAGGGAATAACTATTGATATGGGATACCTCTCTGAGTAGCATTTGAAGTATCGTCTTCTTGAACTTTACGCCTATAATCTTGTTCAAATCTGTCCAATGCATGACATTCATGGTATAGTTCCTGCAAAAAGCACAAAGTTCTCCTTACTAGAGCCTGAGCTGGTTGATCTGGTTTGAAGGAAGCGGAATGCAAGTAGATGTCCCCAGTTACAGCAAATGAATTAATGAGCAAATAAAGCTCCCCGTCCAGCTTCTTTTATCATTTTTCTTTTTCCTTTTTTTCTTTTTTTTATTTTATTTTTTATTTTTGTGATAAGCACAAAGCTCTCTAACTCCACCTGTATGAGAATGCCGGTCCCAGATCGGAATGACGGAGCAGGGTTGCAGTAAGTTGGCAGCAGCATAAGACTAGCCAATCATAATGAATGCTCAGAATATAAATATCGTTGGGACGTGATCAACTAGGCACACGTTACATCAGTACTCGGAATGATGAAAATAAGCTTAGGTCTTCCATCAAATCGCCGCTTGGGTGTGTAAGATATGAGTTAGGGTTCCCGCATCATAGAAAGGTATGGGTAAAGAAGTTAGTTCTGCCACATCAACGCCTGGATGTGGTGCAAACTATAAAAGGATAAGCTATCATGGACGCGCGTGTGTAAAGGCAAAAACAAAAAAGGTTCCCGCCTCATGGACGGATAAGGATAAGGAAGCTAGCCCAAGAGAGTTAGATTCGGGTAGGTAGCTAGAACATAGGCTCTTTGACAGAAAAGTCAATAGATTTAGTAGAAACCAAAAAGGAGGAAGTTGACATTGCATGCCTCCAGGAAACTAAATGGACAGGGCAAAAGACTAAAGATATAGACAATACGGATTATAAATAAAGGTGTTGTTGGGTAGATAAAAATAGGAATGAGTGAGAATTATTGTAGAACGGGGACTTAAGGACAAGGTTCTAAAGGTAAAGCGAGTTGGGAATAGGACTATCTCCTTGAGTCTTGTTCTGGAAATAAGACAATCAATGTCATTGGTGCCTATGCTACACAGGTAGGATTAGATGGATTAGATGCAGATTTTTTTTTTTTTCATGAAGGTTAAAAAAGGCATCAAGAAGATGCAAAGTTACAAGGAGCATAATTACAGGAAACAAAAATACAAAAGAAATTGTTAGCCCCTACACAATGTGTCAATCTAGAACAACAGTGCTAACAAACTCCAAAAAATGTCCAATACTAATTACTGGGGATAACTTAGTCCAGCAAAACAAATTGAGTAAGCATTTAGCTTTAAGTGAGTAATTTAGAGTTGAGATTCCATCAACACATCTTCTATTTCTCTCAGTCCATAAACAACAAAAAATAACTGCAGGAATCATCAGCCAAATTTTTTTATGGCCTTATCAACTTTCCGAAGAGTCCAACTCATGTGTGCCTCTCAAATTCTGTGGCATGACCCAGCTTAAGCCAAAAATACAGTAGAACATGTTCCATATATCAGTGGCCCCTGAGCAGTGCATGAACAAGTGGCTGACAGTTTCCTGATTTCTTCTGCATAGATGACATCTGCTGCCTAACTGAAAACCTCTTTGTTATGGTCGTCATGTGTTAGCCATGATGCTCCCAAACTGTGTATTTATTTGGTGATTTATGTTGACGATACCGTTATTACCAGCAATATCAAGATGGTATCACTAATCTGATGCAACACCTCTTTTAGCACTTCTGGACTAAGAATCTACGCAGATTGAAATACTTTTTAGGTATTAAGGTCGTTCAATCTAGATCAGGTATTGTTATTTCCTAATGAAAGTATGCTTTAGACACTTATGGGGAGACAGAAATGACAAGTTGTAGACCCATTGACACTCATATAGATCGGAAAGTTAAGCTGCTGCGATGGCAGGGGAGCCTCTTAACAATCCTGAAAGATATAGGATTGGTAAGTTGAATTACCTCACAGTGACTAGATCTGTCATTTCCTTTCTTGTGAGTATTGTAAGTTAGTTTATGAACTCTCCCAGTGAAAGGTATTGGGATGCAGATGCCTGCATTCTCCAGTATATAAAATTAGCCCCAAGCAAAGGACTATTCTTCACAATCAAGACGATGAGCAGATCGTTGGATACACAAATGCTGATTGGGCAGGCTCACCTACTGATAAATGTTCTACATCTAGATATTGTATTTTAGTAGGAGATAATTTTGTGTCTACGTTTAGATATGGTGTAGGCTTGTGGAAGAACATAACCAATCTGTGGGATGAATTTTACCAGAACTGCAGGTTGCAGGTTGGTAATGGGACAAACATAAAGTTTAGGAAAGACAAGTGGCTGGGGCATTCAGCTTTGCAAACTAATTATCCTAATATTTTCCTGATCTTCAGTAATCCAGACTCCACTATCTCACAAAATAGAGCAGACAATGCATGGAACCCACAACTCAGAAGGAACCTACAGAATTGGGAGCTTGAAGAACTACTCACCTTACTTGAAAGATTGGAGAACTGCATAACCAACGAGCAGATTTCAGACAGACTAAGATGGGGTGATAAAACAGATGGTCTATATTCTGTTAAAGCAGGATATTCAATTCTTTGTGCTCAGAATGAGATGGTGGATAATTGGCCATGAAAATTAATCTGGAAAAAAACAAATTACCCCCTAAGGTGATTTGTTTCAGCTGGAAAAGCTTGCTACAAAGCATGTTTGACTCAAGTCAATCTCCAGAGAAGGAACATACACATTGTCAACAGATGCTATATGTGCCATCAGAACATAGAAACCAACAGTCATCACCTATTACATTGTGCAGTTGCTACAGATATCTGGAACATGTTCTTTTCAGTTTTTGGACCTGAGAGGATTAAGGATGCCTACATATGCTGGAGTTCTTGGAAAGTTGGTAGGTCCATCAGGAAGATCTGGAAAATGATTCCTGACTACATTTTTTGGTGTATCTGGACAGAAAGGAATCGAAAACGTTTTGATGGAATATCTACTCCTAATCAGTGTTATCAAAGGCGAAAAGCGCAAAAAAGCTCTAAGGTCCGTTGGGGCTTTAAGCGCAAAGCGCAAATAAAGCGTGGGCTTTAATAAAAAAAGGCGCAACGGGAGAAAAAGTAAAAATATGCATGTAGTCCAAGACTAATCATTATAAGCACGAATAAAAATTATATGAACAAAGAAATTGAAAAAAAATTCACGATAAAGTGAAATATCAATTGTTTAAGGTCGTCTTTTCAGGATTACGCTCATTGGTAAGGAAAAGTATGCTTTAGAGCTTTGATGCGACACTAAAGCGCCCACAAAGCGAGGCGAAGCGCTCAATGTGTTTTGAGCCTCGCTTCAGGGCTTAAGCGCGCTTTAAGCGCGCCTTTGACAACACTGCTCCTAATCACACTCTGAGTTTGTCTTTTATTTTTGTATAGCTAGAGTAATCTCTTTCCTGTAAACTCCACTGATAAGTTTTTGAACTTTGTTAGCTCCTTATCTTTAGTATAGTGCACATTGTAATGGAGCTAACAAACTCACTTTTGCGTTTACTATCTTTTGTACTATTTGCATCTACTTGATGCCATAATGATATCACTTACTTCATCCAAAAAAAAAAAAGGAGGTAGGTTTGTGTCTTGGAAAAGCAAGAAACAACATGTGGTTGATCGATCTAGTGCAGAAGCAGAATATCGAACAATGGTTATGCAACATGTGAGCTAGTTTGGGTCAAACAATTGCTCAGAGAATTGAAATTTGGAGGAATCCATCAGATGAAACTTGCGTATGATAATTAAGTTTCCCTTCATATTGCATCAAATCCAGTATTCTATGAGAGGACTAAACACATTGAGATTGAGTAATCGTCAAAGAAAAAAATACTCTTAGCAGATATTGTTACAAAGTTTGTGAAGTTAAATGAACAAGCTCGGTACATATGATTTATATGTACCGGCTTAAGGGGGAGTGTTATGTACAGTATACTTAGTGTCCCACATCGGTATTATGTGTGTTGTAAAGTATGGGTATAAAATTGAGCTCTGTTAGACAACAGTTGAGAAGTACCTTTAATAATATTCTCCTGTGCCTTTATTTCTCACCAAGAGATGAAACAAAAGTAGAAAGAATGAGATAAAACTCACAGCTGTATACTGACCCACGATCATGAGCTCCTGCATTACAGCCTCTGCTTCTTCTTTCAATTGTTTATGAGGTGTCAGTTCAGATTCCAACCTAAGTATAATGAAATGCACTATAAATGATATGCAACACTCATTTTCACTGTTCGGATGACAAGCAAGCAATACTAGACTAAAGTTTATAGCAAGTACTTTTCAAAATAACGGTCCAAGTTGTGCCATTGAGGATCTTTGCAGCGATTTCCAAAACGAACCACTTCACCAGAGAATATTTTCAGTTCATCCCTGTCATATTACAAGAATAGTAGGAATTTCACACTCTGCACACAAAACCTGAAAGTAGCATCTACTTTACGGCAATAAGCTATCTCAGAATCTTTCACACCTCTTGTCTGCTGCAGCAATTCTCAAGAGTTCATCCATATCGTTTGATACCAATAGCTGCACACCTTCTGAAGGAAGAACCACCTCCTTCAAATGCTTAATATTCTCTTGTGAAAGGGAATGCATAAGATTGGCCCCCTTGACAATGGTGTTTGCAACTTCAAATGCCAAAATTGAAATTGTAATTCCCTTTGTTGCCATGCTTGACGCAAAACCTCTACTTAGATTTAAATTTGTCATGCTGCTACCCAGTGTGTCCAACACATCAACTGCTTTACCGAGCCCCGCTGTACCAGCTCTCCCCAACAGTGAACTCACTTCCGAAACCTTTCAAGCGAAAAAATAAATAAATTCCAGTTAACAGAATCCACTGAGCCTTATCCGTTTTGGAGGCTATACCATGACAATCTGTGTCATGTAGTATCCGATGTTGTGATAAAGAGTAGGAGACACTTTCAGGGGTTTATCAAATTGCATTCTACAGTTTTATGAGAGGAGTACAAGAGATGAAGCAAAAAATACCAAGTAATTCGTCATAATCGCACGGTGTTTTCCCGCATTATTAGTTTTGAATAACATACTCTAAAAAACAAACACTACAGCAATAAAAGCATTTCTTTTGTTCCTTCACTTGGTTTCTTCTTCTCTCTTTCACATTTGATTTATCCATTTGCCTGAGAAATCTTCCATTTGTATAAGTGGATCCACCCCTCATATTTGCTTATTGTCAATGGGGGATATTTATCATTATAACTCTTACATCGAGAATTTTCAGACAGAACTAATGATGAAAGAAAAGACAGATGCATCCAGGTCACAGCCAAAGGACATGACATAGCATATGTGATTGACTACTCATATTTGCAATTTTTTTAACAGTAAAGCCGAAAAAGTATATTTTTGTTCGTGAAGCAGCTCTAAGACTACTCACCTTTGCAATTGCAACTTGCTTTGACCTTGTTGATCTAGATTTATTAGATAAATCTCTGGACAATCTTGGAATTCCATCATCAATATCATCCATAGGAGCCCCACGGGAAATCGTATTCACCTCTGGAAAAGATAATGCCGATTCACTTAGTTGGTTATCAGTGTTTTCCCCAGCCGGAGATTGCATAGGATCACTATTTAGTTGTGTGGGCAATCTATGTGACGGATAAACAATTCCAGCACCATTACTATGTGGAGTGCCACAATCTGTTGTGCTCTCAGCGGCAAATCTTCTAGAGCAAATGCCACCCATCTTCTGAATATGACCTTCAGCCTATTTCAATCTCAGTCTTCCCATCAAGAGCTAAATTAAACAAAAAATTGTAAAAAGCTGTCTTAGCAACCTAAAACTGCAAAATACTGAGACCGTCAAAGCCGCTCTTGGAAATTGCTCGAATTTACTGCTCAAATAGATATACGTCGAGCTGGAAGTTCAGAAGCATCTACAACTATAACAACTAAGTCTTAATCCCAAACAAAGTTTAACAACATTCTTAACAAAAGATTACCATGGTACCAACTCTGAGAACAACTGCTTTCTAAATCAACTAAAGTAAAAGAACAAACCATACAATAAGAACAACTCATTCGCAAATATTTTTTTCTACGACACTGGTGTCCGAGCCAGCTTGACCAGATCTCAACTATTCCATCGGGTACCTGCTGTCTCCCACCACCAACACAAGTAGCAGGTAACTCTACCAACCATGTGTGAATAAATCACCTAAAAAAAAAAAAAAAAAAAAAAAAAAAACACACATCTTTTCAAACATGAAATTAAAGAAGGCATGTAAAGGACTAATAAGGAGACTCAGGGAACAAGCAATTATTATCGAAATGAAGTCGAAAGTAACAACACACCCACTCAAAGAGAGAATAAGCAATAGCATCCAAATAGAAGAATGTGCAAGCTGATAATAAAAGCCACTTACCCAGCAAGAGAAAAGGGAAAAAGATGAAAGCTTGGATTTTTTAAAGCAGATTCTACAACTCTCTTAAATACTCAATCTACAACAGGAACAAGAAAGAGGGATAATTACACTTGATTAGAATGATGATTGACTAAAGTGATGAACATGGCCATTCTTTCACTTTCTGTGTAGCTTTTGGGTATATTTTGGAACTGCGTATGAGGTGGAGGAAATATGGAAGTGAGTAAGCGGAAAAACCCAAGTCAGACACGCAACGCAAGAGAGTAAACATTAATCTCTTTCTTTCACACATACACACACAGTTTACTTTGTGACATTAGCCTGTTTTACTAACTATGAGTCTATGACAAGACCAAAAACCATTGCAGGTCGCTGACGAGTGACGCCACCCACTTTTCTTTCCTTTCCGGCCTTTGTTCTTTTGGGTGAATTGCACTTCTTCTTTTTTTCGCATTACACGTATATGCTCTCCACTTCTAAACCTTTTTTATTTAATTAATTAAAATCATTCTATTAATTTTGTTTTCGGTATGTGATACTATTTTTATGATTAGTTTATTAAATATATACATATTTCAAAATTTAACTTTAGATTTTTTATTTTATTAGTATGAAGTTTTTATAGTAGATATTTTGACTTAAATTATCACTTATCTTAGGAGTAGGTTCAATTTTGTTTTGATCTCACTAACAAAATCAAGTTAAAAACTAACTGAAGGAGCAATTTTTTTAATGGTGCTTTTCTTGAAGCTTCTCAAATAGTAGGGGTGGGCATAATATCGGCCGAACCGTGAATTTTGATTTTTCGATTTCGGTTTAATCGGTTATTCGATCGGTTTGCAGTTTTTAATTTATTAGATTTCGATTTTTCGGTGCGGTTTACGATTTTGGTGTTTCGGTCCTGAAATTTTGGGCCTCAAAACTTTGTATGTAAATTACTAACTTAATGTACTGACTTCTGAAGAGTGAAGCCCACCTCCCCACCCCATTTGAAATTTTAAAGGCCCAATACCATTACCCAAACCCTAAGCCTAATTAGCCTAACCTAGAATTTCCCTTTCCATTTTCCATCTTCCATTCTTCCCTTCCTTACGCTTACTCCTTAGAAATTAGGGTTCGATTGCTGGTGTTCTGCGTTGCATCTATGCGACTGTAAGCTCGTCATCTTTCTCTGTCACTCTATTTGCCGACGCGCATCCTTCTTCCTCAGCTCGTCGTCTTCTTCCTCAGGTTAGTGGTTACCTTGATACCTTCTTCTTCTTATGAGTTTTCCTTCTCCATTTTTGTGTCCTTTTAAATTTGTTAATGACGGTAGCAATCGATTTCCAGATTTATTCTCTATTTTTGTGTCCTTGAGTTATTCTATAAAATTTGATAAATTTTCTTGTTTTCAAAGGTTGGACCTAAAGTTAAACTTGTGAAACTACATTATCCTAGATTCTAAAGAAGTACTATGGCTTCCCATATCATAAAATCACATGCATGTTGAATGGTGTTGTATTGTATCTAAAGGATGACTTAAAATTTGAACCTTGGAGCCTTATTTGAACGTACATCCTAGATTAATCCTTCTTAAGTTGCTCTATTTTGAGCTTTTGGTAAATTGTATCATCTAATTATAATTGATAAGTGAAAAACATATATCATTTTTAATATGTATTAGAAGCATAGGCTGGAACTGTTAACTTCTAGTTGATGGTCTCTGTGATTTTAGTTGGATTCTTCATTGTATTAACATTCTTTTGACTAAATGTTTTATTACTGAAATTTCTGATCAGTGGTCACTTTAATTGTGTTAGACAGTAGACAATTAGATAGTCAGATGTTCCTATAGACAGTACATAGTATACACTTTAATATTTATTGATGTTCCTACAAACTGTAAATACTTAGTTGTTCCTACAACCGTTTAAAATCGAAAATATAAACCGGAAATAACCGAACCGAACTTTGAAAAAACCGCACCGAGCCGTAAATACTTTGGTTTGATTTGGTTATTAATATTACAAAACTGAAAACCGATAAACAGAACCGTAATTTTATAATAACCGATCGAACCGACCGATGCCCACCCTTATCAAATAGTAGTAGCCCTCTCTTCTTTTTTAACTGAAGAGGCATTATTTTGGTTTGCTTGAAGCTTTTTTGAGTAATATCAATTTTTTTCACTGATGTACATTTTCTTTCCTCTTGTATTCATTTTATTAGGACAAGGTGAAACTAATTTGACCTTTAAACTTCATATGCTTTATCATTTCCACTTACTCGACACATCAAAAGCAAAAGTAAAACCAAAATAAAGAGTATTAAACTGATCTCCTTTATAAAGAAATATGTTAAACTTCTGGGAAGTATGTTATAGTAGCCTTTTACAGTATCAAAAGCAAAATAAAGAGTTACTAAAATTTTAGTGACAAAAAATAATTGATAAGCGTATCAACCTATCCATATAGTCTTCAACAGCATCACAACTATTATACACTAATCTTCAGCAGCAAAGCGGTACTTCTATAGTAGCAAAAAACATCATTTTACAGCAGCATCAACCAATCTTTTTCAGCATAAACTTGCATACTAAAAAATGTATCTCCGGTCACTCTACTTTCTTGAGTTGTGTGCATATGATCTTGGTTAGTAGGTCCTCTTCTTATCTATAATTAAGAAAATATTACATTCACCATATTAATAATATACTTAAATAGAGTTATATGTGTAATAAACTCATATCGGAAGCTTTATAGGAGCAAAAGATGTAGTAGAAAATGAGGATTCTTGTCGCAATGTCTCATCATCATGAGAATCTGGATACACATAATTTAACTTGCAAGTTCTTTTATTATGGCTTGGATTGTGGCATAAGCTATAGTCCAATATTTTTTGCTTCCTTTTTATTTTTTGTCTACTTGCTCCAACTTCATCAGACTCTTTTCGCCGAAGCTTTTGTTTTCTTTCTTTGGTACTTTGTTTTTCCAATCGTGGAGGCAAATGAGGTATGTTACTCAACATACCCCACTTATCTTGACCATTCATAGGTAGAATTGAAAATGCATAGATCCTTCTATAAGTTTCTATATTATAATTATCATCCACATATAAATGAATGTCATCATGTTTAGCCCAAATCGAGGCAATGGCATGCTTGCAAGGGATTCATGTTAGATATCATTTCCTACAACTGCATTTTTTATTTAACAAATTCACAACCCAATTATTCATTACGCTTGCTCTTATTATCTCGTAATTCCACTCATTTGACTTCCCAGAAATAAATTCAACTGCACTAGCCTGATTTTTGTGCAATATATCCTTAATCCTAGGGCAAATATCATCATCATTCCACTTGGCACCTTTATCCCTATTTGTTTGCATCCTTTTCATAAGGTGATACCTTAACTTCTCCAATAAAGTAATAATCGGCTTATCTCTAGCCTTAATGATCATGCTATTAAAACATTCACACATTATTGAGTAAGGAATCACATTTCACAGTTTTAGGGAAGTGAGATTTAGACATTCAGCAAGTGGCTTTTTATTGAACCAATCAACAGCTTCTGAATCTAGATCACAGATGTCAACCATGCAATCATCAAACCACTTTACTGTTGCAGCCTTCCAAAGGATATTCCTGAGTGAGATAGCACTGAATCCGACCCTTTTAAAGTTGTTATGGAGGTGTCTCATACAAAATCATGACAAACATATAGCAATACCTCATTGAACGCTTCAATCAAACTTTTTTTCTTTGTCTGACATAAAGGTCCAAGTGCCATCATCATCAATATCTAAGTTGTTACGCCCTATATTTTCGTACGTAAAAATGCGTCGTAAGCAAACTAATGTAGGACCAAAAA